ATTTCAATCACATTTTGAGAAGAAAAAATCAATTTAATACTAAACATGTTATAAAACAAGTTGCGAAAACGAACATCTCTGTGACATCTATAATCATCGAATAGTCATAACACTGGTCTGGGTCTCTACTTAAATTTTAAGCGTCTGAGAACTTTTGTGGTTAAAATGAGCAACAGTTTGTACAAGTATATCCATCTAAATTCTGCCCCATATACATTGGTCTCGAAAAGGAAAAAAACGTTGTAAAAGAAGATAGTTCATGTAATACTTACTGACTTTAGTTACTTATAAATTACTTGCTGTTCTGTCTTTTTGGACGTGTATGTTGGTAATAGTTTCTTTCGTCAGAATGAATAAATGTATGCACATCATATATAATTCACCTTTTATATATGAAGCTAGATAAATTCTTTTATCTTGGTTTTTAAAAAGAATAATAAACAAGTTTATTCATCTAAGTTGGTAAGAAGTATTTGTTTTTCTTTTATTGACGATGATATTATTTATCTTCATAGAGTTTCTTCTCTGCTTGCAAAAGGTAACAATAAAAATCTTGAGGGGTGTGAGTATCGACGTGAATGTGGGTATTACATTCAACCTTTTAACACAGTTACACATACACCACTAGTGTAATCGATAGGATGAAAATGGACAACTATTTATTTCATCTGAAGCTTTGCGCATTTAAATTTTACTTTTTAAAAATAGTTTATATACTTTCGAATAAGACAATAATAGGATGTTATTCTTCCATATGAATCATACACACTCGCCTGCTTGTTCTTCTTATGAAGAATGAAGAAGGGAAGAACAAAAGGATCGCTTCTTATATTTTAACTTTAATTTTGGATGAACATGAGTATGATGTTATTAGGAAAACATTAGCAAAGTGAAAGACTTTCTACTGTGAATTCGAATGAAATATTACATTATGTACATAGATGCATTCCCGTCGTCTTGACTTTGATGTTTGAATTTACAATGCAAATATTATGAACAGAGACATTAAAAATATACTAAAACACATTTCATCCAGACTTCACATTCGAGTTCAATGATTGAAAAATTTTTATCTTTTCCAAGAAGAAAAATCAAAAAATACTTGAATAAAATCCAAAGAAAGGAGTTTCAAAATTTCTTTTCTAAAAATGTTTAAATAAAAGAAAAGAATTTTTATTTTATATTTCAATTATTTCTAACTTTTCCTATTGATAAAAAAAGATTTATTTAAATAAATGAGAACTTGTCTATTAATCAATTGAAATTTCGAATTTATTTTTCTCTTTACTTTTCATTTTTTGGTCAAATAAAACAACTTTGATCTTTTGTTTGTTTTTCTAATTTGTTTTTTTTGGAAAAAAGATTTTTTTGATCTATTTTTTCGATTTTCACAAATTTCGGTCTTATTCATTTATCTTCTTTCTTCTCTTCTCTTAATAAAACATAAAATCAAAAAAAGAAATCAAATAAAATCTCTATTTAGAAGTTCCTTTTATTAATTTAAATGTTTTCCTGAATTTAAAAAATATTTTATTTGAGCTTTCTATAAAAATTAAACCTTTTCTAATTCGAGTTTCTTTCTAATTCTTTTAATTTAATTTATTCCAAAAAAATTCTATCTGAATTATTTTATTCATTTTGGTTTTTATAATTTAACATTAGAATTAACAAATATTTGGTTACTTTTTTTCTAAAAACGAAAAACAAATTGATTTATTTTATTGGAAGGAATTTTATTAATTCATTTTTGATTGTTTTCAAAAATAAAAATCGAAGTTTTATCGAATTAAATTAAAAAGATTGTTAATTTAAAATTTTTTCATATTTTTGGATTCGTTGATTTCCCCAATCAAGAACATAAAGATTTTCTTCATTATCAAATGATAAACCCACGGGACAATGCAATTGATTTGATTGATGTCCTTTACCATTTCCACCGACAACAATTTCACCTTCTGCATCTCCTTCACACCAACGCATTACTCGATGATTCGAACAATCTGCCACATAGATTTGACCCAAATCATCAACAATCACTCCTTGAGGTCCATAGAATTGTTTGAGACTATTTCCTTTACCATTTCCACCAGCAACAACGATTCCTTCTTTTGCACCTTTTTTCCATTTCATTACACGATGATTCATTTGATCTGATATATAAAGAGAATAATCTTCATCAATAAACATATAAGTAGGTCCATTCAGTTGATTAAGTTGATTTCCTTGATAATTTCCACCTGCAACTAATTCACCTTTTTCATCTCCTTGTTTCCATCGTCTGACTTCATGATTGTAAATATCAGCAA